AATGTACATTAGATATTTGTTATGGGCGTACGACGCCTCCCCCGATCCCGGCATGCACTCAGAATGTAGTATCTTCCAAGCCGAAGCACTCTTTTCAAATGCTGTAATCGTGCGGTCAAACTCAACATCCACCAGTTCTGCTTGCTCCTTCGCCCGCTGGAGGTTTGCTCTATCACGAAACCACTTCACACGGTCGACTAAAAGCGCGTCAATACCGCGTATGCAACGAATAAAATCGGAATTGACTCACTCTCCACACTCCACTGCTATCCTGCTCCGTGCTCATCCCCGCTGGCCGCCCTACTGACCAAAACCATGGGTCGACTTCCTTACTTTCCCCCAGCTTCGTGGACTCCGTGTTGTTTTTGGAGTATAACTCATTGTCCGCCAGCGGTTGAAGCGTCGAGTCATCTTCTCGCAATCCCAGGCTCAGCAAAGCGCCGCGCGTTGTTCTGTATTCATTTGCGGCAATTAACCTATCGTTCGCCAGCGTTCGAAGGAAGCTTTGAGCTCTTGTCCCCGCCGTCTGCCCTCTGACTTTCTTGTCGATCATGAACTTCAGATTAAAGTTGAACGTTTTGATAGCATTGCGAACGTCCTGTAGTGCGTCATGCGCCATCCCTTCGCGCAATTGGTACTCGGTCGTGGCAAGCTCCACCATCTGCAAAATTTGGCGTTGCGATGCATCGAACCATGACGGCAACAATAGTCGCGTCTCCTCTGGCGCTACTTTTGGGCCGTCGACCTCTCTTTGGAGCGTAGGGAACCGGTCGAGTTGCGCCATGCACCATGTAGTGATGTCTGTTCGCAGCTTGGACTTCCGCCGAACGGCTTTGTCCAGGGTAGAGGTTTTAAGAATCACTTTGATCTGATGTCTGCACACTGGAATGAGCGAGAAGAATTGGCCAGCGGACGATACACTCACTGCTCCTTTTCAAGCAAAAGTCCTTTAGTAATGCACACTGTATCTCCGGAAACGCTGACCCTCCTCACCATGCTTTTATTTAATTCCGCAAGCAGCAGCTTTTCGTAGGCGCTGCGATGGGTCGGCGGCCCTGAGGGGCATGTGAGCAGCGAATCTCCCCCATAGAATAAGGTGCGCACGCACCATTCTCGATATGCGCATCGTAGGGACTCAAATATTTACCCTTCTCGATTTCCCATGTCATCGGCATGGCCGACCACTCTTTGATTAAGGCAGGGTCGGTGGTCTCCGTCAACGCCTTAAACGGAGGCTCCCGCTTGCAGATCGCGGCTTGTGCATCCCGATACATTTTCTGCAGAGTTTGTCCTGACGTCAAAGCATTAATTCCGTGTCGCATTGCTCAAAGCCGTACTCCCCCATCTGGATAACTTTGTCCCAATTCCATTTACCACAGCCGTCGTCAATAATGTCGTAGCGATGGCCGTGGTTAGTTTCTTTAGTGCTTCCCGCGAACTGGTTCATTTCCGCCCATGAGCCCTCTATAAGCTCGCTGATGAGGAACACCAAGAACTCCTGAAAGTTTGTCGACCACTGTGATTGGCATTGCGCGATGTGATTGCGAATATGCATTTTGGGGACAGCGCCACCTAATAGGCTGATGAGGGGGATCAACCGGGGGAACCAATCTCTGAACCGCGTGGTGATGTTCTTGAAATATTGGCAGTAAACATTGTATGTGAGGACAACCCATCGCTGATTGTATCCGTCCAGGAGACTCTGCCCTAGTGCATAATCGGTGTGGCCGAAGCTGTTGCGCAGTCAGCGATCCGTCCATTGCCTCTTGACATGCGACTTGCTCACCTGGATCACAAAATAAGGGATTTGCCGGCCAAAAACAGTATTTTGGATAGTACTCGACGGTGAGTGTTCCAATTTCGGTTTTGCAACTGCAGACAAGGTTACTGGAGTTTCAGGTACCTAACAGCGTCCAAAAATATCCGGAAACAAGGTACTCAAATATCAGTCACTCACCATATATCGCAATTTTTAAGCCCCCCTGGATTTTTGACGCTCCCAACGACCTCGCCACTGAACTCAGCACATCGAACCGACCCTCTGAGTGCTGAATTTCGAGAGAAAAGATGTTGTGGAAGGCGAGTTAAGTGAAAAGTGTGTTGATGGAGAACACAAACATTGAACATCAGCCTTATGGGCGTCATGCGTTTCCGCCCCCATAAAACCTCGAGGGGCAAGAAAGGTTGAAAATCGTAAAAGTGTCGTCCCAGAGACTCTGAATTCAATGCGTGAACCCAGTTAATAGTTGCAGTACATTCACTGCCCTTGATTTCTTCAGATGAAATTGAAGATGTAGTAGCTCATCCGACTCGGAGGAAGAATCAAGTTCAATCTTGTGTGACTACAGCATCCCGATTTTGGATACGGCGGATTGTCCCCTGTGACCTGCGACCCGCAACCTGAAATGGCGGATGTCAGTCCTGAGTGTCGGGTTCTTTGGCACACTCCTTTTGGGGAATTGAGCTTTTCAATTTTTTTTCGTGGTAGGAAAGGCACCAAAACCAAGAATCAGTTCATTACTTTTACATGGATACAGAAGTAGGTGGGGTGTGACTAAGAGCGGGACAACTAAAAGGAAAAAAGCCCGCCAAAAATAGAAATGATAATATCACGGGGAGCGCAAAGAGGCACCTATGAGGAGGAATGTAAAATATCGACAAAACTGGCGTAGAGCCAAGTTCCGCGGGGGAGTAAGCACAAGCGGTGGGGCTAGGTGAGCCGTCGATAGAGTAAATAGCGGCGCGGGGGCACGGGCGCAAGTGATCCGGGGGAGGGGTGCAGAACCGACCGCGGCGGACGAGTAGAAGCAGTGGGGGTCTAGAAATTTGGGGTGCTTGTGGGGGGAAGGTTGCACAAGGCCAACGAGCCGTCGCTGAGGTGGTTTGGGGCTCGGAGGGGCGGGGCAAGCGGCCCGGCGCGGAGGGTGCACAAACGGCCGCGGCGAACGTGCAAAGGCTGCGCGCGCCTAGATATTTGCGGTGCGGGTGAGGGCGAACTACCTCGACGACAGGGAGTCGTCGATAAGGTGGATAGATGTGCGGGGGCACGGGTGCAAGTGGTCCGGCGCGGGCGGTGCAAAATCGACCGTGGCGGACGCGCAAAGGCAGCAGCTGCCTAAATACTTGAGGAGCATAAGTGGGCGAGGTCCCTTGAGGGCGAGGAGCCGCCAATCGGGGAGTGCGGCGCAGGGGAACCCGGGTACAAGTGGTGCGGGGGGGTGCCTGCAGAAACCTGCGTGGACGATGCAGAAGGGCAGCAGGGGCTTGGATATCGATGGTGGATGTGGGGGCGAGGTACTATAAGAACAGGGAGCCGTCGATGAGGGCGCGCGAAGTGGAGGAACCCTAGTGCAAGCGGTGCGGGGCTGGGCGTGTCAAACCGACCGTGGCGGACGCACAAAGGCAGTGGAAGCCTAGATATTGAAGGTGCATGTGGGGGCGAAGTCCTACAAGAACTGGGAGCTGTCGATGGGGCATGTGGGGGTGCGGGAACCCGGGTGTAAGCGGTGCGGAGCGGGGTTGTAAAATTCGGCGTGGACGACGCGAAACGCTAGCGACAGCCTATATATTTGAGGAGGGTGTAGGGGCAAAGGTGCCCAAGGACCAGAGACTGGCAATGGGGCAGATTCGGGCGCGGAGGGAAGGGGCAAGCAGGGAAGCCGGGTGGGTGTGCTAGCAGAATTCGAGACCAAAGAAGCTGTGGAAGCTCTGCTAACACAGTGGTGGGTTGTTGAGACTACCTAGGTTGCGTTGCTCCGACAGAGGGCATCCCAAGGAAACGGGGAACGGCGGAATGGTGGTGGAAGTGAGAGGGAAGAAGATGCTAACAAGGATAAACAACTGTCGTCCCACGATTAGGGCTGCCGCCCGTTGCCGTGACGGGCACGACCGTCATTTTACGGTCCGTCGATTCGAATTGTTCAGCTCTGACAGTACGGGACGGTCAACGGGACGGCCGTCGCGGCCGTGGCAACCACCTGTCCTGCCCGAATAACAAGGCTTGTTAGCCTGTTCTCATCGGGACGAAAACAGGCTAACAAGCCTGCGAGGGACTGTTCGCCCCTCTAGGGACAGCACCGAGATTTCGGGGAAGGACGAGGGACAATGTCCTTCTCAAGGCCGTTTTCGTGGAGGGAGGGGGGGGGGGAAGGGTGTAGGTAACGGTGGGAAGGGGACATGAAGGGACATACATGAGCTATCAATGGGGAGAGGGACCTAGGAGGGGGACAGGTGCACTTGAAAGGGACGTGAGGGGACATACATGAGCTATCGACGGGGAGAGGGACCTAGGAGGGGGACAGGTGCACTTGAAAGGGACGTGAGGGGACATACATGAGCTATCAACGGGGAGAGGGACCTAGGAGGGGGACAAGGGCACTCTGAGAGGCAAAATGCACCAGGTATCAAGGGGGGGGGACTGTGAGGGGGACAAAGGAGGTATGTGTGGGGAAGGGGACACGGGAGGGGGGACAAGGGCACTCAGAGGCAGAACGTGCCAGGTATCGATGGGGGGGACTGTGAGGGGGACAAAAGAGGTATGTGTGGGGAAGGGGACACGGGAGGGGGGACAGGGGCACCAGGTGTCGGCGGAGGGGACTGTAAGGGGGACACCGAGGTATGCGTAGGGGAGGGGACTCCGCTACGGCAAAAGGGACGTGATGTCGGTGGCGGGACTTCAAGGGGGACATCTGACAGCAGTGGGAATGGGACTCATGTGTTGATGTATGCCATGGGCATATACAAATAAAATAGAAAAAGGAGAGACTGATGTCAGTAGGCAGGTACAAATAAGCTAAAAAGAAGCAAAAAAGATTTCCCGGCAGACCATGTCCGTAGCGAGAATCGAACTCGCTTCACCTGTGAACCACTCGAGGTAATGTGTGACAGCGGCAGGTATGTTACCACTTACACCATGCGGACATTGGAGGTGCTGAAATATTTCGATATGTAGTAGGCTGTATACGATCGACTATGACATAAAAAATGCTCGAGTAGTACCACGTCCATAGTGAGATTCGAACTCACGTCGCCTGGATAACAACAAAGTACTGAACCAGGGATGCTACCAGTTACACCATACAGACAATGAACAAACTGGAAATGTGTCGCCAGATGGTAACACATGTAGCAGACCACTAAAACAAAAAACTAGTCGCCCGGGCCATGTCTGTAGCGAGAGTCAAACTCGCATCACCCATGAATAATATACAGACTTGGAAATTACACCAGGTGTGTTACCACCTATACCATACAGACATTGATTCTTGTGAACTTATTCACATTGTTACCACATGAGTATTCAGAGCAAAAGGGACAGTCCCTTCCTGGATATATACAATGTCCCTCTACGGACTGTCCCCCCTACACGATATGAGGAATATTGTACAACTACTCGGTAGATAGCATGTAAAGTGTATGAATGTCCTTGGCAAGCTGCTCGGCCTCCGCTTCCTCCGCATTCTCATCTTCTAGCTCTTCCTCCTTGGGGGGTCTCGAAGCACGCATCTCTTTTGCCAATGCGGTGAAACGGTGCACTGGGGTGCAGCCGTGAAATCACCAGATAGGAAGCACTAATCGAGCGTAGCAAGTATAACTCAAAACTAGCACCCTAACTCCAAATCTAATCAAATCACTAACTCCAATCTCAATACTCGTGTGTGTGTATGTTCGGGGAAGTAGGGTATGTATCACCCTTCAAGATGGTTGGTTCGCAGCAGTAAGAACGGCGGTTGGCTTTTCTTTACAGTAGAAGGTTTATCTCGCAAGTGTTTCCCGTAGGACTCGAACTTCGACTTATAGGCAACTCGTCTGCGAGTAAGTCCAGAAGTAGACCGTGCAACGCTACGGTGAATACTCCGGCCACAGAATGGTCTACCGGAAGCTCGAGAGGACGAGGTTTTCCTTAATTCCCTCGGACGGTACTCGTGACGGCGGGAGATAAACTCAACGGCGGCTACTTTCCGGTGGGCAACGGCGGCGACCAACGGGCTAGCGGCTGGCTAGGCGGCTGCACTTATGATGGTCTTAAACGGCGGTTGCACGGGGACGTACACGGCTCGATCCAATCTTAATTGCAGTATCTGAAATCTTTTCTTATCTCGTTCTGAGCGCACTATATTCCTCCAAAAGTGGGGGGTAGTCTACTGGGGTACATTTGTGAATCTAACTATTATTTATACAAACGGTAGAGCAATAAGGAGATAACCGGAACCGAGTTGGAATGGCGTGATAGGTCGTGATTGTTGGAGGCGTGTGGTCCTACGGTAGGCGGTCCAATGGCGGGCTGAGTATTCCCAACCGGGGGTGCTTCTGACCGCCCATCTTCTGTCCGTGATTGTGCTGTTGTGATGCCAGCCGGGCTGCCCTGACGGTAAGCGGTAACTCTTGCTGCTACCGTCAAAGCCCCTCTACCGTTTGGCTGCTTCTAGTATCTTTTGCTATTTCATATCTCGAGAGGCCCTGGGGAGTGGTCTACCGCTGGACTCGGACCAACGGTAGGCCATTCTGCCAAGGTGTACCTATCTCCGGTTCAAACCCCCAACCATCAGCTTCCCGTAGTTCCGGTTGTCAAGGTTCCACCATCAGGGGATTCCTGTCTCCGGTAAGGCCGGCTGCTACCGTACGGGGTAGTTGGGCCGTAGGAGTTTCTCTACCGTAGAGTATCATTATCTCGTATCTTGCTCGTATAAGTTTCTACGGCTTGACTGTGCTAACGGTAGAAGCCTTTCCTGAGTACGTACTGTAGGTCGGGTTGCTACCGCCAAGTTGCACAGCCATGGCTTAGCCGTAGGCCGGTTGGCTATAAATAGCCCAACCAGCTGCCAGGTCCTTGGCCTCCTACCGTAGAGGTAGTTCAGCCGGGCAAAGGCCCTGGCCGTTTAGAAAGCCATTATCTTGTCTGCATCGAGCTCTACCGTTAGAATGTTTCAACGGTAGAGACCTTTTCTGAGTTTCTACGGTTGGCTGGTTGCTACCGTTGGGTTGCACAGCCACGGCTAACCGTAAAGCGCCCTCGGCTATAAATAGCCCAACCGGCTGCAAAGGGGCCTCAACCGCAAGAAACCTATTTATTTTATATCCTTATCCAAACTTAGTCTTACCGTTGGACTGCTTCCAACGGTAGAGACCTTTTTCTGTGTTCTTACCGTAGGCGAGTTTTCTACCGTGAGGTTGCACAGCCACCAACCGCTAACCGTCAGGCCTATTGTTCTATAAATAGCTCAGCCCGGCTGTCATTGCTACGGTTAGGATGTGCGAGTTGAGCCTCTACCGTTGGAGGTCCCAACGGTAGGAGTGCTCAAACTAAGTCCAGCCGCCTGTGCCGTCAAATGTGCTTAACTGCCATGCATGTCTTTCTGAGGCCAACGGTTTGAACGAGTTTAACTTGTCACCGGTTGGCTGTATCTTAAAGGTAGGGTTTGCGGTTCAAATCCCTTATCATGATGAGGCTACCGCTAGTAGCGCTCAGCCGCCAAGACCGTAGTAGTCCCTCTTGATCACCTCAGTACTCAAGGAATCTGGCGGTAAGCCAACTCCCGGAGCCCAGCGGTAGACCGTGAAGCTGAACTAAGACACCCGTTAAAGGCTCTAGGTTGGGCTCCAAAGTACGTGTTAATCACTGGCTTTCAACCGTAAGCGGTGTTAGAATACCGTCCCGAGGAGGACGTATCCCCTTAATCCTAGTCTCACTTGGCCTTTGTATAGGTCAGAAATCGAAGAAAACTTGGTAGTTTTCATGCGTGTTTAGGTACACGCTCTATCAGCGGCTGCTCGGGCCTCGGCCTCCCGTCGTCCAGATTCATCTACATCCTCCATCGGAGTGGGCCGGGGAGTTGGTGGAAGCCGAACACCGGGCGTCAGGGTTCCTGTGAATCGGGGACCTGCTTTCTCGGCGAGCTTTTTGAACCGTTTGAGATGGATATCGGCGTATCTCTCTCGCTGAAGCCGATACTCCCTAACTGCCCACGCAAGCTGGGGGTTTGTCTCCTCGAGCTCCGCTTCCTTCCGAGTCCAAAAGATCTTCTCGTTGCGGATGGCAGTGACCACCCGCCGAATCTCAATGTTGCACCAAATGATTTCCTCGTTGGCCCTCTCAATCTTGAAGTATTTGTCAAGCAGCACCCGAGCAGGCAGCGTGGCCCACGGCTGGACCTCCTTGAAGGCCTCTGGATCCTTCAGGAGGTCGAAGTCGGCGAGAAAGGCATAATCTACCACCTCATTCCACTCCAGCTTCGGACCCGGAGGGACTATGGAGGCCGCGGCGTCGTTGTAGGTCTTCAGTGCATTTCTGATTGCCTGGGACCTGGCCTGAAGAGCCTTGGCAATATACTTGCGTAACTTGTATCCTATGGGGCCAAAATGAGGTGAGATGATCAGTAAAGTGAAAGAAAAGACTTGACCTGTCTGGGAAAGGTTCATCTTGGTCAGCTCGAACATCCGTTGAATCACAAGACGTTCCAGCTTGAGCAGGGCTAGACGGTACCGCCGGGTGCTCACAAGATGGGCTGCTTCTGCCCACTCTGCCGAAGTTGGCTCCCAACGGTCAGCCACGCCCATCTCCAACTCCGATGTCTGGACTTCATCTAAAGCCTTGTCGTAGTTCTCCTGGGCATGCCGCAAGACTACCCTGGAGCCTTGTTTCTTGGCGAGTTTGAGCTTCACGCTGGATGCCGTGGCAACGTGTGGTGTCGGGACATGGTGTCGGGACCGAGGACGCGATGGGGGGACACGGTGTCGGGACCGAGGACGCGGTGAGCGGGACATTGCCGTGGGGGGGACATCGGATGAAAGTGGTGGGGAAGGGGACAATCAACTTCGACTGTCGCAGATAATAGGGAAGGAAACGCACCTCCGATCCGCGAAGTTGACGAGACGCTGGTAGTATTGTATTTGCTGGGTATCCTCCTCTGCCTCCTTCATTAGGCCCTTCAGGAATTTGAACTCCTCCTGGAGCCGGCGAGGAAATTCACTAACATCGTTGATTCCCGCAGCGGCCATGGCCATGTGGAGGGAGGTTTTCTCCTCGAGGATCTCCAGTGCTTGCCAGTAGTTATCGACGAGGAATTTACCTAAAACTGCCGTTGTCAATGAGAAAAAAAAGGATTGATCAAAGGAAAATTTGCACTGAGGTTGGTGTATGCCTCGTGAACATTGACATGCTCAAAGTACTGGGTTATGGTCTGGAGCCAGTGGAAAACACTCGCATATCGGATGGAGCCAGCCATGGCATTTGAGCCTGCAAAAAACCGCTCGCAGGTTTCCAAGTCCTCCAGTCCCAGCCCCTCAATGTAGCTTACAAGGAAGCAAAGTTGACAAAGTCGGTTGTGGCCATGTCCATGGAAAGCTCCAACTAGCAACCAGAGCTTTTGAAGTAGTGCACACATTCCAAGGGGGCTGTTCCAGAGTGTGGTTGCAGTACCACAACCCGTGTCGTAGCCACACCCGGTACCGGCTGGGAACTCCCAGAGCACCTCAGCGAGCATAGCAAGGGGATATTTCAACCTAGGGGATGTGCATTAGAGGGACGTGTTTAGGCGGAGGGGGACATTTTAAGGGGACGGGTGAAGGACGGGGGGGGGACGGAAGAGCGGGACACAGTGTCATGGGGGGGGGGACTCACAGTTCTCCACTACGAATCATGTTGATTGCCCACAGCACGAAACTGTGTCTGCACAACATCAGGAAGATTCCGGTCTCATCGTATACTCCCCACATCTTCTTGGTGCTGTCCTCGGCAAGGTTTTTCCATCGCTCTTCGCACGCGTACTTCTCCTCCACTCTGGGCTTGCACTGCGGCATTCCGCCTTCAGCTTGGGAACTCCGGGGTAGGGGAAGGACCTTACCTGCTCTTTTATCTGATCCTTCGCCCACAGATTCACCTTGTCGCAGGGGATGAAGTAGTCCTTTCCAGCAGTCGCAGCCCGGGGGTCAAACCTTTCCTTTGAGACCCCTGGGAGCAGGTTACCCTCTTCGTCGTAGTCCTTTGGTTCCTTCTGAAGGACTCGTTTCAAAGAGTCGTTGCCATCCATGGCGACCAACATGGGAAACTCTAAGGGCAGCTCCCCCTCAAGCTTGTACATGCAGG